GGGGGGGAGGGGGGGGGGGTCAGTTCAGTCCTCCCGGTCGACCGAGTCGTGAGTCACTGCTGCGGCTCTGCACTTAGTCACCTGGGTGCCCGCAGCAGGAGGACAGCTTTATTGACAGGTCGTTGAAAGGATCATGTTGGGCAGAGCACTTATCAAGGAAAGGTATGAAACGTGGATTGAAAATAAACAAATGACAACTCACTTTGGCCTTTGCACACTAACAATCTACGAATTTGGCTGAACATGGCCACGAAACAAGCGAATGCGATGTCAATGCTGCATTTTGTTATTAGTAGTGCATGCTGGAAGTTATCGCTCAACTAAGGTTCATTGGTTTAATAAAGTAAGAACAGGCACCTAAGCATCATAGGTATAGGCACTTCTTTGTCATTTTGTTATAAAAGGTCACCACTTAGGTACGTTTTTATTAGCTGCATACGGTGAAAAGATGATAAAGACATATATTGTCTAATGCATTGCCTACTCAAGGAGCAAATAAAACCAGCGTCTAGCACCTGCTGTAAACCTAATAGCGTTAGTCACGCGTGGTAATCATCCATGCACATTTAAGCAACGCGTTCTGACAACGTATTTCCGATCTATAAGCCAAGTGCCCATCCACCTTTATTACATTTCTGTGAAGGATGCTCACTCAAGGCGATTCAGAGAATCATTCCAACAACCAAATGTTGTTTGAACTCTGTCGCTGAAGCGACTCCGGGGAAATAAAGTCCCTGTTCCCTGTCGATGTCGACGCGAGTAAATGGTCCTAAAAGACTGGCTGTGATGTTTGATTACCTTTCAGTCTGATATGAACTACCGCATCAAAGTCTTGTTCTTGCTGGTTTACTGGAAAATTGAAAATATAGTGTTGCCCGATTATGATATTGGCGAATCAAGGAACGACCATTAAAAGGTAGGCTGTAAATGGGGATGTTTGAGAACAGTCAACAATTAAAAGTTAGCCCTGATGCCACACGCCCTCTAGTTTAACGCTGCGTAGCGCTTCTGGGAGTTCCGGAATAACCACAAGGTGTAAATAGGGCAATCGGGGGTATCTACTCCCTGCTCGGCGCCTTTGTCACCATCCTAGCTTCTGACGAACTCATTACACCTCCTGCAATAACTCAGTGAGCTCAGTGGAATGGTATGGAGGCAGGTGGCAGTGGATGCGTGCCAGGTATGTGCCCCGAGCCCCAGGCATTGTGCAGTGTGCACTGTGCACGTGTGCATTGTGCGGTGTACAACATGATCGCCAGACCCTTGTTCTCGCCACCACACGGCCTTGCTGGCTCTGTGGGCCTTGCAGGCTCTGTGGTGGAAAGACGCGCCGCGTGAGATGGACGTTTATGGCGCAGCGCTGATCAACATGTCTCACTAAAACTATTCAAAATTGTGAGCCAAAATGATCTCGCGAGTCGCGTTCATAGTGAAGGTCTGTGGTGCTGCAAGCTTAGAAAGATTAAAGAGAGTTTTAGTCCATTTTCCCGCACACAAAAAAATGCAAGCTGAAGTTTTGTCAGGATTTTTGCGACACAACTATGAATTGTGGTCATCTTCGGCACGGCTTGCAAATAAAACTGAACTCAACTTGAAGAAAACCATCACCATTTGCTCGCATGTCCATATAATGTGCTCCATATGCGTACTGGGAGTGGGCACCTGTTGATTTTTTCTTTCTACGGCTCAACTCTCCTCCACCAATCTCATAAATCCAATCAACATTTCTTAAAAATTCTCCCCTATCTAATTAGACCTCTTTGTTGATTAGCCCACTCACCGTTCAACAACTTGAAACAGAATTATCTCTCGCTTCCCTGCAATTACCATTAAACAAGCCATCAACTGGCGGCAGAAACCGGTCGCGCTCGGTCGCGCTGACTTTCATGACAATTTACGGCCCGAATAACGATCAGTGCCGGTAAATGTCCTGTCCCCCGCCATCATACTCAGGCTCACTGGAAGTTTGGCGCAAAAAATCACAGTACGCCGTTCATGAGTGGAAATTGATAGCGTGCGCACGTGCTGGTTGTCCAGGCGGATGGTCATTTCGCCGGGGGTTTAATAATGCGGACACCACGGCTGTCTATCCCGCATTTGGTAACGAGCATTTGCCGCGCGTGGTTGAAAATAGCGCCTGGGTTTATTGATGTGAACAAGTTTGCGTCTGGGTGCGTGCCTCCAGTGCATGTGAGTGCACATCCACATGCACTTATGTATTTTCTAAATTCACTAAAGGCATAAATGTGCTGCAGCCTGCATGTAAAAAAAAAACGCAAGCACATGGCATTTAGATTTTATCTTGCACTGAACCGTCAACTGCTACTTGATCATCTCTCCGTGTGCATCTCCATTCCTCTCTCTCTCTCTCTCTCTCTCTCTCTCTCTCTCTCTCTCTCTCTCTCTCTCTCTCTCTCTCTCTCTCTCTCTCCTCCCTTTTCACTCACCTGATTGCTCCAATCCCATGTCCATCGTCTCAGGTGCCAATTCGGGCTCGGCGGGGTCCTCTCGTCCCTCCCATCCTCTTTCTGGTACTCTGCCAACTCTACCAGACGCTCTTTCCGATAAGGCCAGCGAATGATAGATTTTAGAGCTTCGGTCTCTTTTCAAGCTTATGAAGCTGTCAAATTAAATAAAAGGGATTGACACTTTTCACATTGATTTCGAGGCAGGTAATATTTTACGGTTAACATAGCACAAACAATAGCGTGTTCCTGAATTTGCACCGCTCAGTTGTTTGGTTGTCTCCCTTGGCATGTAAACATGGCACAGCATACTATTTACAATTGCCCTTGTATCCAGTTCGTATAAGCGGAAAACCGGGACAAGTAGACACCGCCGCTCATGTGATACCGTCAGATCAGTATATATCAAACTGTGCTGTGACTGAGAGCTGCAAGACTGCGTTGCCTGGCTGAGGACTGCACGCAGCCCGCTGGTTGAAGGGCTGTTCTCTGGTGTGCGTTCTGCTGTGTTGAGAGCTGCAGAGCAGCGCAGCAGGACTAGTAGCTGCAGAACGGCGGAAAATGTACTCGACAGGTAGCTTTATCTCTGCAGGTCTCATCACGTGATCGCCGCAGGACAAAGCCGCCGCCGCCGCCGCCGCCGCCGCCGCCCGGCGCCGTACCGTTTTTATGAGTTGGCCCGGCTAGCAACCAATTACGGGACGGTTATCGTGCGCCCGCGAGTGGAGGTCACGTGACCGATCTGAGGCGCTGCCCCGGGCGGTGCCTGAGGGCATGCTCGGCGGCAGGCGGCGCGGCGGACCGCGGCGGGCGGCGGGCGGCTTGCGCGGCGGCTGCATTTGGACGGGCGGCGGCCGCGCGACTGTGAGGAAGACAGCATGCGACAGTCGGGGAACGGTGTAGGCGACAGTTTTTGTGTGCAGGCGCGCTGCTCAGTCTGGCACAAATCCTTTATCAGAAATTATTATGATCCTTTCCCGAACTCCGTTCCTTTCCCTAAGTCATGCTAAAATCAACTGCTGATTCAAGTAATATCTTGATAATTTTCTAAATGTCCACAATTACTGATAAAAGAGGCATAGGTGCATGCATTTGCACATTTGCCTACGATGATACCGAATGAGGCCGTTTACTTCCGTACTAACTTTTTCTTTTGACATCATTCACGGGGAAGCCGCTTCCCATTGGTGAGAACGGAACTGCTAATAGCTTCACTCATGCATTAAAACCCCTCTAAAGATAATCCCACCGTCACGTTTTGCCGTGCTATCAGACAGCTAGCGCGCCCTGCAATGGAAAAAGTGTGCGCCGGTCACAGAGGACGTATGGCAGGACTGGAGACGTCTGGAGTTTGACCAGAGCTGCCGGAAAAGGCTGCCGGATGCCCGGGCTGACCGCTGGCGACGGTCCTTTTCCTCCCCGTCACCCTTCCCTCCTCCTCCTACATCAGACAAGCGGCCAGCGCACGGCGGCTCGCGCAGACGCGATGATAAATTATTCATGACCAAACTGAGTCGGTGCGCGCCCTCGTATGAGTCATTGGCTAATTTACTACGTCGTAGAGAAAAAAAGAAGGAGGTGAAGAAACGGCACGGGGACATCATTTTCCACAAAAGTCGCACTTCATCAGCCACAGGGCACCAGAGTCGTGACGGGAAGCAGAGGTATACTACTGGCCCGGTGTATGCAAATGTCTCTCCAGCGTGACGTAATGACTGGTTTAATAACCAGTCCTGGCACAAGCCTGACATTATTACCGCACCACCTGGTGAATTACCACAGCGTGCTTACTCATTTTACTTGGCAAATTGTGCAACTGTGTAACGTTACGTGCAGACCTACATTTTTTGTTCGCTGTTGTGGATCCTAGGAATTGTTAGAAACGATTTAGATGCTCAGATTATATGCCTTTTCAATTCTTAAAGCCTCAAGACGCGCCTATCGATTCAAAACATGTATCCTGGTCATGACGTTACACTCATAATTTGACCTTTCCCTATCAGCGAGAAATAACCTCAAATGTGTTCCATCTGCGAAATAAGTAGTAGGTTGCATCAGCAGCATCTTGTAGGCATACCACATGAAACTGAACTTCATAACGTACGCCAAGTACCAACTAGTACCTAGTACCAACTTTGTCCCGTAGCTCAGTTGGTAGAGCATTGGACTCCCGGTAGTGAGAGCCCGGGTTCGAGACGCTCCGGCGCTCGAAATTTGAGACTCCTGACGGGGATGGTCTGCGGTTGGAGCAGCCGCAGCCAGTTGAAGTCAGTTGAGTGGGACAGGCCGTGTCCGGCTTTGAAGGGCACGTTAAACTTTGGCATCTAAATTCTCCCGTTACCCGGAATTGCGCGATCGGACGGTAGGGGTCGGGGTCTACGCAACAAGCTCTGCTTAGCGTGGGCTCCGGCTCTGTCAATCCGTCCATTCAAACATTCGAGCTAAATTTATAAAAAAAAAACTACAGCAAACGTAGTAAGCCTGTTTTCATTTTCCATGCTGACTGCGATTATCATGCTCTATAAACTCAGATAGTGGTTGGGTTTTATATTTTATTGGTCTAAAACTACAAATCGGCAGTCACACGAAGAACTAAATATGTACATCTATTTACAACATGAGGTCATGGGGCACAATTGAAAGACAATGGGCATTGGGCAATGCAGTCTGAACAGCCACACATGTGAAAGACACCATATATCACAACGCAAAACATCACTCTTGGGAGAAAGACTTGGCATCACGTTTTATCAGAATGATCCGAATGAAAGACGCGCACAATTTCATCCTTAACTACGGTCAACATGGGGGTCAAATGCAGGTTGGTTGGAGGGCCACATCAACTACCACTTTGACTTAACATTCCGAGCCTTTTGGCAAAGTGCCAACCGTCAATTGAGATCAGTACGAAAGCCGCGTGTAGCATCCCCGGACACCACAATCCAATGACAGCTCGTCCAGTCGCAAATTTAATAACACCCACATTGTGGCATCTAAAACCAACTCACTAGATACTCTCCTACCGGTTGTTCTTATCACTAAAAGCTACTTGCACAAGCTGAACTGTTAGTAATTAATTTTACGCTGAGTTTTAATCAAACTAAGCAACACAAAACGCTATTGAGCGGTACCTAATGCTATGCTATGAATGCGAAGCAATGAAACACCGTACGTTTTACAACTAAAGTGCTCGGTTACAAGTGAGCACAAATTATCAACTTACAAGTTATGGCAGTTACCTAGAGCAGTGGCTGAGCATGTTAGTAAGGACATACTACGCAAAACATGGATTATCCAGCACGTCACTTCAAGCACGAATGAAGGACTTATAGCCATCGCCATATTACTGAAAGACTGCCTTATGCTAAACGGATGTCAAAGACCACTGAAAGACCGTCTTAACACAGCACAGATGATGAAAGCATTACGAAAAGATCGATCGCTCTAACTATAAACGCTAATTTTAGAAGAAAAAAAATTAGAAGACGGGACTAAGCTAGCAGAAGAAGCTGCAGCGCTAACAACTTATGCAACGCTGTTCGTTACTTCGTGAAAGACTTAACTCCTATTGACTATGAAAGACTTGCCTATGAGGACTTCTGCCCTCCCTGAAAGACTTCATGAGACCGTTGGGACTGCAAATGCAGAACCACTTTGAGCATCACTAAGGTTACTTACTAGGCCTTAAGTATAACTACAAACTATACCTTTCTCAAGTTAAGCTTTTATGAGATCAATGACCGAAGTCCCTCAACTACCCATTGCTATCCAACGCTGTGAGATCACTAAACCACAATCGAACTAAGCCTATGAGATCATTTGACAGTGCATAACTAACAAGACAGTACGCAACGCCTCTATGTACCTAATAAACAGAAGAAAAAGGGGTGACTTAATGTCCCAAAAAAGAACAGCTATAAGGAAACGCTAACTAAAGACCCACTAAACTACAAACTACAAGCTAAAGACGAAAGGCGTTACATCATATCACAGCCATTGAGATCTATGGTCATATGACCATAAGGCAGTATCAAACTTACCACTATCACAGCCCTAGCCCTAATTCCCTCGTACCCCAACCCACCCTAACCCAATCCTTCCCCATAGCTACACACTAAAACAACTAATGATGACACAGTACGGGACCACACCCATTCATATCACAGCCAGTATCACATGGCACAGAATGAGATCAGATTAGCTAGCTGAAGCCGATGATGAAGCGAAGCCTTCTGTCTGTTGACCGGACCCTGTTAGAGACTCAGCGCCCTGAAGAGCCGCCAGCAGAACCGTGACGCCCCAACCAGCGTCACGGCTGCTTTCGTCACGGACTCCGCCGCGACCCCCGTCACGGGCACCGTCACGGGCACCGTCGCGACCTTCGTCACGTTGCAGGCCCGCCGCCACAGTCTCTCAAGTAGCTCCGCCGTCTGTGAGGAGACATAAGGTTCGATTAGACCCGGATCTGACAGCGCACCACGACAGCACGGGTTCCGGGAAACCCCAGGCGAGCCCCGAGTGTTTCAGGACATCCGTGTACAACGCTCACGGAATACACGGACGTGGGGCCGCGACGTGGGTTCGCAAAAATGCCTGAGGGGCGACTCGTCCTGTTTGTATGCAATGAGCAGGATTGGGGATGGACAACCCGAGTCTGAAAGGAACTCGCTAACCACAGGAAGGGAGCTTGCACATACAAGTAGAGAAGTCGGCCGCAGACTGCCTATCGCGATTCTACGCCGCCATAGAAGGAAGTTACAACCGCTATCACATCCGGAATTCATCGTAGTACGCTACGGAGCGAGACGAGCACGTGTCAGCATGTGTAGCCATAACAGAGGAAGGCAAACACTAGCAGTTACATCATGGTTTGTAACACTATGGGACCAGGAACTGAGGGTCATGATGCAACCAGCCGAGCAGGGAAAGCACAACGCTGACATCAGCGTACAAAAATAGCTCCCGTGACGTGACAACTCACCGGGTTCTGAGAAGCTTGCCTCGTCGCCGTCAGCGGCGGCCCGCGGGGAAGTCGGACGGGGCCCGGTGGTTCTCCAGAGGTCGTGACCTCGTCGCGTGCAGGGTCACAGGTCACCAGGGTCACCGGTCATCGGTTGTTGAGGACCTGCCGGGGAAGAGGTCATCGGCCTTAGCGTGGCCACTCGTCTCCCTCTCCCTACCCCTTCAGCCCTTTCCCCAGCCAAGCATACGGCGGCCGGCGCCGGCAAATGTCACACACGGACCCCAAACACACAACAGGTTTGCCGGCAACAGCTGACGGCCGTGACGTCACGAGATACGGCCAATCGATGACCTTGAACTCCTGTTGCCGCCCGGCGCCGGCGCCGGAGTTGTGGGGTTCATGATAAGTGGGCGCCGGCACGCGACCCACATATTCCGCCCGACCGGTGCCCGTGAAAGCGTGCACTGACATGCGGCGTGTGCAAGACATCACATTGTGACCGATATCGGGCAGACAGACAGCGGCGGGCGGGGACCCGGGACAAAGTAGAGTCAGGTCAGTGTTTACAAAGTGATGTGGGGAGCAGGGGTGGACAAATGTGCCGAGTTGGGGTAGCACGAGTCTTCCCAATTCCACGCTGGCTGCGCCGGCTTGGCTTTGGAGCCGCACCAGACAGCGGAGGTCAAGGTCACCGCCAGGGCGGCGGCGGATTTGCTGCGCCCGTGCAACCCCAACCCGGCATATTTCTCCACCCCTGGTGGGGAGAGGGGCGGAAGTGGGAGAGAGTAGCGGGTTAGTTCACGGTTGTAACCATTCACGTAAATATGGATGAGTTAATTAGAGCTGATTCAACAGGTGGTGCTTCGGGGATGTGTTCTTTAACAAACATAAATATGCATTATGCATGTGACGTATCACTTCGAATCAATGATGATAAAGCAGAGATTCTGACTACGTTTAACAATATGATCATACTCCGGCTACTCCGGGGTGAATTGCCGAAGACTACGTCAACCTTCAAAGAGTGCTGAAACCGGTTTTTTGGTGCAGCTAAATTTGAATCCGGTTCCGTAGGGAGCATCAGGTTGAAACATGCTCGAGGACTCGTTGAGATGAGTTGGTGATAGATGGGGATGGATGGCTTCAGTTTTAGTGCCGTGGTAATGACATGATTGGAGTAGGATTTACAGCAACATGGATGTTTACCTTTGCTACGAGAGCGGGTCATCGCACGAAACAAAAACTAAATAAAAGTTTTACATTATACGAAGGAAAAAACACGATTGTCATTGAACCGTGATGTGTAACCTTAAAAATTATTACAAGAAGCATTGCAAAACACGCACGACAAAGCCGATGGATCGACCCATCCGACCCTTTCGCAGTGACACTTACCTCATCTCGTTTTCAGCTGGGATGCGTCGGACAAGCCACATGACTCCGCTACCACTGCTGTCCTCCTTCCGCCGCTCTGTGAGCCTCCTCTTCCCACGGAGAGAGGGACTCCGCGGCCCGCAGGAGTCCCCCTCCCGCCGCCATCCTCTTCCTCCCGGACGCCGTACGACCTCCCTCCTCCAGCGCTGCGTGCGAAGTGCGCCCTCACGGCTCCCAAGCGGCACGAGCCCCAGCACGCGTCCCGCCGGCCACGCCCCATGACATCATACGGACCAATCAGCGGCCGGCTGGCGGCGCGGCGACCAATGAGCGCGCGGCGCCGCCGGCGGTGGCGGGATGGATCACGTCCGAGCGGCGTCACGTTGGCTCCGATCACGGCCACGGCAATAAGGGCGAATTGCCGCTGGATGTGCGTGGGATTAGCGACCTAGTGTGGAGGGGTAAACAGGGCTGACGGGTGATGACCCACACACCTGGTCTGGGCCCCTCGCGACAGGAGGGGTGGAGGCTGGGGGGAGGGGGGGGGGTTGACTCATGATGCACGCAGTGTCAGGTCGGTGACGGGTCCGATGGAGAGTGTCATCTGTCACACAGGACTGCCACCTGTCACACGCTCGTGCTGCCGGGTTTGGGAATTGGGACCCACTCAGTGGAACTAAAGGGAGTGCGAGAGAGAGAGAGAGAGAGAGAGAGAGAGAGAGAGAGAGAGAGAGAGAGAGAGAGAGAGAGAGAGAGAGAGAGAGAGAGAGAGAGAGAGAAGAAAGGAACAGCGTCTTAGATATAAATTACAACTCTTTAGTCGTATGATTACATTGTTAGCAGTCATATCATATTAACGATTGAGGAGAAACACGAAACATCGCGAGCCAAGACTTAAACTTACAAGGTAACTAACTAGAACGAACGAGCAGCTAACTAAAAAAAGCAGCTAAAGTAAAGTTTCATAATGAAGTTATGAAGGACACGCAATGCAAAATGAATATAATGAATTACCAACATAATGAATTACCACAGCCATTTCCATGACCTTTTGCCGGCTGGCTCAACAGCGTTCCGAAAAGCCAGAGCTACCTATACCTAAACGGCTGCATTAGCTCACTGGGATTTTAGCACCGATCGCTACACCCTCTGAGAAGTCTTAACAAATTGCTGTGCACTTTCCCTTCGACCGCTTTATTTGGCTGTTATGACCAGGGTTATGACTTCATCAGCGATTTGCTCTTAACGACCATATGCCACTGTAAGATCAAATAACCTTTCAAGTTTCATTGCACAAAGGCGTTTGTTACGCATGTCTCTATAGGTACTGCCGAACTCCCGATCGAATGGTTTCATGTAATCAAGTGCTTGTTTTGTTTTAAACTTTGGTACAAGCGACAGCAACGTCACTTTAAAATTAAGCTTTGGAATTGACGATAGTTCCTAACAAAGCACTGAATTACACTTCGTTGCAAATATAATGCTTAAATAAATTCATGTGCGGGACCACTACTTTGTACTTTCGAATCTCTTTAAGTGAATTTCACATCGGTTTCACTTGATGGGCGTAACCTTTTCTACGCAACTGCTAGATAATGACTGGGCTATAAATCACTTTCGGGAGGCCCATCGGCCAAATTTGATCGCATGTTACATCTTTGGCGCTGAGTCACGCCGGGCGCTTTGGCAGAAGGCACACTGAAAACAAATGGACACAGTGAGGGCATGTTCTGTACTGGTAACACATCAGTCATGTGTTGATCGCACCCAAAACACAGTAAGGCTGAGTATTTTCACGCATGGCGGGACCTTCGACACGTTTGATAGCACATAAAACAGAATAATGACACAATTTTCTCGTGCCAAGCACGCTGGACGAATGTAATGCATCAGTCTATCGAAATCATGTGTTGTCAGATATGGTAGACGTGTACCCTTGCACAAATACACCGTGCCATCCACCAGTGAGCGACCTCTGAACCTTAACTTCAGATGGAGATAATAGAGGGCGTTTTTCGAGCACCGACTTTTATGCTGGGTTTTTGTAAAAATTTGCTAAAGTGTTTTGAGAAAGGTCAAAATGCACAATACAGCCGAAGGAGTCGATACATGATAAATTGTCTATAGCAATATGCGCTGATTACATCAAGTGCAAGCTAAAGCATAGCTAATTAACGTCTGCTTGGAGGAAGAAACTCCTCGGTCTATATAGGATATATTTGAAAAAATCGGTGGCTTTAAATTTATCCTGGGTAACTGGACAACTGCAATATGCAGTAGTTTTCCAATTTGAGGGCCTCGTCACTTGGTGCTCTGATTGAGCCGTCCACGTAACGTGTTCACCTTTCGGCCCTGGAGCGGTCGACCGGGCGCAACGTCAGATCGTGTATGGGTCGGCGGCCTCGTATGGGTCGGCCGGCCGCGTGCTCAGCCCTGACCGCGCCCTGACCATATGGGTCGGCCGGCCGGGTGCTCAGCGCTGACCGCACCCGAGCGTCCGATTCCACTCGGGGCCCGGCTTTGGCAGTTAGCCTGTCCAGCCAAAGCCAAAGCCCCTTCAACTGCGCCCCGGCAACAATAGTCGCCACATTCACACAAGCCTTATGTGTTGAAGACACAATGATATTGTGTTTTACGACACAACACGACTGGGTTAACACATTTGTAAATTGACACGTCTGCGACGGGTCAAAAAATGCATGATGCAGGGTACACAAGAAAGCCTAGTTAACACACTTTGCTTGTGCGTTTTTAGTCGTTTTTTGTGTCATTTTGTTTTCAGTGCATTTCCTGTCCGACCCGAACTTGGCCGCCGGTTGCCCATCGCTGGTTCCACTGGACGATGGACGGTGGACGGCGGACAGTGGACGGTGGACGGTGGACGGTGGACGGTGGATAGTGGACGGTGGACGGTGGACCGTGGACGATGGCATCCTTGAAGAACAGTCAACACTGAAACACACAAATGTGTTATGTCACTTTATGCGCACTGCGCAGCTAGCATTCCTTTCAAATGACAGATCTCCTATCGGGAAGCACCTCCGACGTAATCGCAATGTCACTGCACTTGGGGTCGTTGACAATAAGCTCAACTCAAGTGTTACCCCAAGGACCAAGAGCAGATTCGTCATTGCCACGGTCAACGATCATTGCACCATGTGTTTGAGTCATCGGCAAATATGTGCTCTGTCGTCACTCACGGCCCACGGGCTTAGAGTATGCACAGCGCTATGAAAGATGAAAGATGAATGATCGTTATCCTAGATGCATCCTCAGTCCGATTTTAGTACAGATATCACGCCATCCAAACAACGTGCATAAACTTTTGAACACTGTGGACTGAGGAACACAGTTGAAGTCACCCATGTAGTGAGCGCTATACAGCCAGCTATACCGTTGCGCCGTAAGACAAATCATATGGGACCATCAAGTAAGGCCTTGCCGATAGCCGTTTAGAATTACCTACATTGCTGCAGACTTTGAAATAAGTTATTCTTTCCCTTTAAGGAGGTAATTTATCGATGTTGCGAGTGCCTAAACCGGTAATTGCGAGCCGAGGGTGCCAATTTTGCTATCTTACCTCAAAACTTAGGTAAAGGTGGTCAGTTATGTCAAAGCTTCAATGTTTTGAACCAGCATTTCGCTTTATCATGGCTAACCCACCGGAAAAAAAACAAAGCACTCATATCCATCTGAGATATGTGATAGACTGGACAATAGATCAACTACCTGTTTCTTCAAGTACACAAACGACAAAACAGTGCAATTCAAATCTTTATATCTATATTTCGCAGACGTTTCAACGACAAGGCGTCTTCGTCAGTGCAAATGAAATGAAACTTAGTACATATGTTTAATTGATTAGCATATTCGATAGCATATTCAATAGGATATTCGACAAATATTCGATAAATTACTATTCGTATTCGTTCAATCGTTCAATACGAATAGTAATTTATCGAATATTTGTCGAATATCCTATTGAATATGCTATCGAATATGCATATGAATTAAACATATGTACTAAGTTTCATTTCATTTGCACTGACGAAGACGCCTTGTCGTTGAAACGTCTGCGAAATATAGATATAAAGATTTGAATTGCACTGTTTTGTCGTTTGTGTACTTGAAACAATGTCTTCTTACCAACAATTACCTGTTTCTTCTAAACACTTATCAAGGCGTTCCTATAGCGCCGCTGCCGGGCACCTAAGGTCAAGAGGCCAGCTCTGTGCGGACCGGACCCACAAGCAGCACCCCCTCTCCCTTTCTCTCCCTCTGTACAACAGGAGGGTAATTACTTAGTGAGGAAGGCGGTACCCATCGTAGGTATTGTTATTAATGCGTTCAAGCTCCCAGCGTGTTGGGCAAGCGGTGTCAGGCAGGTCGGACTTGTCGCTACCGCTAGTGGAGACCTGTTGCATATCAACATGTGGGTCATTTGACACGTGAACTATTGCATGAACAACACCCGGGCTCCGATTCACCAAACCGGTTTGAGAGCCTCTGAATCACATCTTCTTCCTGACTGGTTGTGCCCGAGGGCAGAACAATAACCGACTTCGGCTGGGGCTGAATCACTGCAGGTATGCAAGGCGTACAAACTAAGAACGCTCTGCTACGTTTTCAGGTTTCCGCAAGGACAACAAGCATGTGACGTCAAATCATCAGGCCACGCTGGCCCGATCTGGCCAGTAGTGGTGTGAGAGGTACAGGTACTCCCCCGCCTCCCCCGCGCCGGCCCGGGAGCGAGCGAGGTGGGCGGAGCTATAGCGGTGGTCCGACGCGAGGCGCGAGCAAACATTGTGCAATAGGTGCAGTGCGGACGGGCTGAGAACTTCGCCTTGTTGCTATGGGCTATCCCCCATGGCCTTACGGGCTTAACCCTCGCCCGCACATGGGGGGGGGGGTGGTTGCCACCCCCCCCCCCCCCCAGGTAGTCTTTCTGCTCTGCACTCAACATTTTTAGAGCTAGAAGGCTGATTTTTCGTATAGCTGCTCCTCTATCCTTTCTTGATGTTCACTGAAAATTTCAAGTTTCTGTGATTTTTTGTTTCGGAGATATGACCTTGTTTTTCAGGTCATGTCATGACCCAAATGGCCAATTCTCAACATTTTGCGTTTGCCATGGGCCTTATGAGCTTTTGACACCCTGATTTCGGCCTTTTTTGCCAGTCTTACCTCCTACCTATTATGGAACATGTTCGACGATGTACAGGGGGTCAAGGTCAGGGTCAAGGTCAACCTAGGTCACCTAAGATAATTGCGTTTTAGGCAAGCTGAATTTACTTTTTT